GTATTATTAGACTGGTCCTCAAAAGGAGATGGTTTCTGCATATTGAGAAGTGAAAAATGCGAATAACAGGACATTTGAGATAGGGAAATGGCTCTAATGTTGGCCTATGGATCTAAGATAGGGCTCATCGCTAAAAATCTGCTATTATCAATTTTATCAAGATGAACGCGTCATTGGAACGGTACTAATGGATATTTTTGGTCGCTATTGATAATTAAGTCGATTGCTGAATTTATGTATGGGCCAAATTAGAGGCATTTAGGCCGACATTACATCCATTTCCCCTATTTTTTCAAAAATTTTATTCAACATAACTAATAAAAATCAGTGTTCACTCGGCTGTCAACAGAAGCTGGTCGCTCTGCGTTCGTCTGTTTACTAGGCAGCAACCATTGTGTGGTCCTCCTCATTGTTCTTCATAAGCAGCTCTTTCGGTCGATACGTCGTCGACTTTGGAAAACAACCATTTCGTGATGAGTGTGTGAGGGATGACCACGTTTGGCGTCCATTGCTACAATGGAAACGCTCTGACCACCGTTGGCGTAACTACCATACAACGAAACCACTGGAAGTGGATCCCGTTCTGATGGAGGAGGCTTATTGGATGCTCTGTAAAGTTAATTCGACTGCGCCTTATCAAATAAATTAATAATAAAAAAAACTAATTAAAATTTACCGTGTATATTTTTTCCAGAAGACTTTACCTTTCTCAACAAATTTGTCTCAAAAGTAATTCGATCAGAAGTGACGTTTTCGTGCTATAATTCAAGGAATAATGTCACAGACGCCATTTTGAAAAAAATACAAGATCCAAAATGGCTAAATTTTGGCAATAATATGAATGACTGCCCACAACAAACAATTAAGCAAAGTTTCATGCAAATCGGAGAAGGTCGATTTTTATCGATTCGTCATTTGCCATGAAACTGTATATAAAAAATACACTGGAATAAATTTGCACCTGATTGTGGTTGAATTTTTTGATAAAAATTAAAATTTAATAAAAGCCATGGTTTATCAAATTGCTAACATATATATAAAAAATATTATTATATTAATTGAATAGTATTTAGAATTTAGTATTTAGTAGAAAATTAGTAACTTTCAACAAGCTTTTGACACATATTTTGCAAGCTCAAAATTAGGACTTTCAGAACTTCCCAGAAGTTCTCCTTGATTTCCCAGAAGATCTCGTAAACATTCAAGAAGTTCTCCTGAACATTCCAAAAGTTCTCCTAAACTTCCCAGAAGTTCTCCTGAATTTCTCAGAAGTTCTTCTGAATATTCCAGAAGTTCTCCTGAACATTCCAGAAGTTTTCCTGAACTTCCCAGAAGTTCTGCTGAACTTCCCAGAAGTTCTGCTGAACTTTCCAGAAGTTATGCTGAACTTCCCAGAAGTTCTCCTGAACTTCCCACAAATTCTCCTGAACTTCCCAGAAGTTCTCCTAACAAACAATTAAGTAAAATTTCATGCAAATCGTAGAAGGTCGATTTTTATCGATTTGTCATTTGGCGTGGAACTATATATAAATAAAACACTGGAAGAAATTTGTACCTGATTGTTGTTGAATTTTTTGATAAAATATTAAAATTTAATCAAACCCCTTTAGTTCTCCTGAAATTCCCAGAAGTTCTCCTGAACTTCCCAGAAGTTCTCCTGAACTTCCCAGAAGTTCTCCTGAACTTCCCAGAAGTTCTCCTGAACTTCCCAGAAGTTCTCCTGAACTTCCCAGAAGTTCTCCTGAACTTCCCAGAAGTTCTCCTGAACTTCCCAGAAGTTCTCCTGAACTTCCCAGAAGTTCTCCTGAACTTCCCAGAAGTTCTCCTGAACTTCCCAGAAGTTCTCCTGAACTTCCCAGAAGTTCTCCTGAACTTCCCAGAAGTTCTCCTGAACTTCCCAGAAGTTCTCCTGAACTTCCCAGAAGTTCTCCTGAACTTCCCAGAAGTTCTCCTGAACTTCCCAGAAGTTCTCCTGAACTTCCCAGAAGTTCTCCTGAACTTCCCAGAAGTTCTCCTGAACTTCCCAGAAGTTCTCCTGAACTTCCCAGAAGTTCTCCTGAACTTCCCAGAAGTTCTCCTGAACTTCCCAGAAGTTCTCCTGAACTTCCCAGAAGTTCTCCTGAACTTCCCAGAAGTTCTCCTGAACTTCCCAGAAGTTCTCCTGAACTTCCCAGAAGTTCTCCTGAACTTCCCAGAAGTTCTCCTGAACTTCCCAGAAGTTCTCCTGAACTTCCCAGAAGTTCTCCTGAACTTCCCAGAAGTTCTCCTGAACTTCCCAGAAGTTCTCCTGAACTTCCCAGAAGTTCTCCTGAACTTCCCAGAAGTTCTCCTGAACTTCCCAGAAGTTCTCCTGAACTTCCCAGAAGTTCTCCTGAACTTCCCAGAAGTTCTCCTGAACTTCCCAGAAGTTCTCCTGAACTTCCCAGAAGTTCTCCTGAACTTCCCAGAAGTTCTCCTGAACTTCCCAGAAGTTCTCCTGAACTTCCCAGAAGTTCTCCTGAACTTCCCAGAAGTTCTCCTGAACTTCCCAGAAGTTCTCCTGAACTTCCCAGAAGTTCTCCTGAACTTCCCAGAAGTTCTCCTGAACTTCCCAGAAGTTCTCCTGAACTTCCCAGAAGTTCTCCTGAACTTCCCAGAAGTTCTCCTGAACTTCCCAGAAGTTCTCCTGAACTTCCCAGAAGTTCTCCTGAACTTCCCAGAAGTTCTCCTGAACTTCCCAGAAGTTCTCCTGAACTTCCCAGAAGTTCTCCTAAACTTCCCAGAAGTTCTCCTGAACTTCCCAGAAGTTCTCCTGAACTTCCCAGAAGTTCTCCTGAACTTCCCAGAAGTTCTCCTGAACTTCCCAGAAGTTCTCCTGAACTTCCCAGAAGTTCTCCTGAACTGCCCAGAAGTTCTCCTGAACTTCTCAGAAATTGTGTGGGATTTTCTAAAGTCCTCAGTATTTTTCATGAGATTTATGGAACGGTTTAAAGTTCTCTGGACTTCTGTTTTCTGAAGTTTTGGTGGCTTCTTTGGAGTTTTTAGGACTTCCCTGAAATTATCAGGGTTTTTCTAAGACTACCAAACTGAAACTAAACAAAGACTTGGCCACTTTAGCCGGGTTTCGGTTAAAATCGATTTCTAATCCAGACTCTTTTGGCATTTGTGCCGTGGAATCACGTCCTGGTCGGTCAGAGGCGGTAGGGTTATTGGCAGAGATATAGAAGTACCGTCCACACTGGAAGCTATTTTCATGGTTTCAAACGTTCAAGAGATGATGTGGTGGGGAGCAAGAGTCAATGCGTGAAAAGCTCTTCGTCCAAACTGAATGTATTATTAGACTGGTTCTCAAAAACATATGGTTTACTGCATATTGAGAAGTGAAAAATGCGAATCACAGGACATTTGAGATAGGGGAAATGGCTCTAATGTTGGCCTATGGATCTAAGATAGGGCTCATCGCTAAAAATCTGCTATTTATCAATTTTATCTAGATGAACGCGTCATTGGGACGGTACTTATGGATATTTTTGGTCGCTATTGATAATTAGGTCGATTGCTGAATTTATGTATGGGCCAAATTAGAGGCATTTAGGCCGACATTACATCCATTTCCCCTATTTTTTCAAAAATTTTATTCAACATAACTAATAAAAATCAGTGTTCACTCGGCTGTCAACAGAAGCTGGTCGCTCTGCGTTCGTCTGTTTACTAGGCAGCAACCATTGTGTGGTCCTCCTCATTGTTCTTCATAAGCAGCTCTTTCGGTCGATACGTCGTCGACTTTGGAAAACAACCATTTCGTGATGAGTGTGTGAGGGATGACCACGTTTGGCGTCCATTGCTACAATGGAAACGCTCTGACCACCGTTGGCGTAACTACCATACAACGAAACCACTGGAAGTGGATCCCGTTCTGATGGAGGAGGCTTATTGGATGCTCTGTAAAGTTAATTCGACTGCGCCTTATCAAATAAATTAATAATAAAAAAAACTAATTAAAATTTACCGTGTATATTTTTTCCAGAAGACTTTACCTTTCTCAACAAATTTGTCTCAAAAGTAATTCGATCAGAAGTGACGTTTTCGTGCTATAATTCAAGGAATAATGTCACAGACGCCATTTTGAAAAAAAATACAAGATCCAAAATGGCTAAATTTTGGCAATAATATGAATGACTGCCCACAACAAACAATTACGCAAAGTTTCATGCAAATCGGAGAAGGTCGATTTTTATCGATTCGTCATTTGCCATGAAACTGTATATAAAAAATACACTGGAATAAATTTGCACCTGATTGTGGTTGAATTTTTTGATAAAAATTAAAATTTAATAAAAGCCATGGTTTATCAAATTGCTAACATTTTTATATATTGAATTGAATAGTATTTAGAATTTAGTATTTAGTAGAAAATTAGTAACTTTCAACAAGCTTTTGACACATATTTTGCAAGCTCAAAATTAGGACTTTCAGAACTTCCCAGAAGTTCTCCTTGATTTCCCAGAAGTTCTCCTGAACATTCCAGAAGTTCTCCTGAACATTCCAAAAGTTCTCCTAAACTTCCCAGAAGTTCTCCTGAATATTCCAGAAGTTCTCCTGAACATTCCAGAAGTTCTCCTGAACATTCCAGAAGTTCTCCTGAACATTCCATAAGTTCTCCTGAACATTCCAGAAGTTCTTCTGAACATTCCAGAAGTTCTCCTGAACATTCCAGAAGTTCTCCTGAATTTCCCAGAAGTTCTTCTGAACTTCCCAGAAGTTCACCTGAACTTCCCAGAAGTTCTCCTGAACTTCCCAAAAGTTCTCCTAACAAACAATTAAGTAAAATTTCATGCAAATCGTAGAAGGTAGATTTTTATCGATTTGTCATTTGGCGTGGAACTGAATATAAATAAGACACTGGAAAAAATGTGTACCTGATTGTTGTTGAATATTTTTATAAAAAATTTAAATTTAATAAAACCCCTTTAGTTCTCCCGAACTTCCCAAAAGTTGTCCTGAACTTCCCAGAAGTTCTTCTAAACTTCCCAGAAATTCTCCTGGACTTCCCAGAAGTTCTCCTGAACATTCCAGAAGTTCTCCTGAATTTCCCAGAAGTTCTCCTGAACATTCCAGAAGTTCTCCTGAACATTCCAGAAGTTCTCCTGAACATTCCAGAAGTTCTCCTGAACATTCCAGAAGTTCTCCTGAACATTCCAGAAGTTCTCCTGAACATTCCAGAAGTTCTCCTGAACATTCCAGAAGTTCTTCTGAACATTCCAGAAGTTCTCCTGAACATTCCAGAAGTTCTCCTGAACATTCCAGAAGTTCTCCTGAACATTCCAGAAGTTCTTCTGAACATTCCAGAAGTTCTCCTGAACATTCCAGAAGTTCTCCTGAACATTCCAGAAGTTCTCCTGAACATTCCAGAAGTTCTTCTGAACATTCCAGAAGTTCTCTTGAACATTCCAGAAGTTCTCCTGAACATTCAAGAAGTTCTCCTGAACATTCCAGAAGTTCTCCTGAACATTCCATAAGTTCTCCTGAACATTCCAGAAGTTCTTCTGAACATTCCAGAAGTTCTCCTGAACATTCCAGAAGTTCTCCTGAACATTCCAGAAGTTCTCCTGAACATTCCAGAAGTTCTCCTGAACTTCCCAGAAGTTCTCCTGAACTTCCCAGAAGTTCTCCTGAACTTCCCAGAAGTTCTCCTGAACTTCCCAGAAGTTCTCCTGAACTTCCCAGAAGTTCTCCTGAACTTCCCAGAAGTTCTCCTGAACTTCCCAGAAGTTCTCCTGAACTTCCCAGAAGTTCTCCTGAACTTCCCAGAAGTTCTCCTGAACTTCCCAGAAGTTCTCCTGAACTTCCCAGAAGTTCTCCTGAACTTCCCAGAAGTTCTCCTGAACTTCCCAGAAGTTCTCCTGAACTTCCCAGAAGTTCTCCTGAACTTCCCAGAAGTTCTCCTGAACTTCCCAGAAGTTCTCCTGAACTTCCCAGAAGTTCTCCTGAACTTCCCAGAAGTTCTCCTGAACTTCCCAGAAGTTCTCCTGAACTTCTCAGAAGTTCTCCTGAACTTCCCAGAAGTTTAGAACGGTTTTAAAGTGCTTCAATAACCTCTGAAGCATGCTAACGGAATTTTACTTAACATCTTAAAACTTTTTTGAACTTTTGTTGATTTTGCTGAAGTTCCCAACATTTACAAGAAGCTCTCGGAATGTTTCTTAGGTCACCACGATTTTTCTGGTGTTCATGAATCTTCTCTAACGTTCCCGTTATATTTCCGGAATTTTCGAAACTTATTTGAAGTTCTCTGGCATTCTGTTTTCTGAAGTTTTTGTGGCTTCTTTGGACTTTTTATGGACTTCCCTGAAATTAAACTAAACAAAGACGTAGCCCTCCCTGATGTAATCCAATGTTGGTGGCATTTCAAAAAAAAAAAACTGAAGTTCTCCAAACTTCCATGGTTTTCTTTAGGCTTCACTGAAAGTTTCGAAACATTTTGAAGAATTCTGCTATGTTCCTCAAATTAGTGGAACTGCCTTAACATTTTTTTTTATATTTCCCTGATATTTGTGGAACTTTCTGCTCTGAAGTTCTCAGAACATAGATTTGCAATGATCGTCAATGCTCGAAAATCTGATGAGGCACCAAAATCTAAACAGAGCCGTAACTCTTTGCTGATGTCATCCACTATTACTCAGAACTGTTCCTAATTTTAGGTAACTTCCCAAAAGATCTGCAAACTTTCCTGAATTTTTGGCATCTTTTGTGAAGTTTCTGCAATTTTCCTGAAGTTAATTAAAATTCTTAAAGATTTTCTGAAATCTATGGAACTGCCCTGAACCTATCGGAACTAACCTTTAAAGATCTTTAGACTTCCCTAAAGTTTTGGACGTTCTGAAAATTATGTGACTACTTTAGGAGCTGTTCATAAACTACTTGGACACCTTTGGGGGGAAGGGAGTGTAAGTAGTTTATGAACAGCCCCTTAAGATTTCGACATATCTTTGAAGTTCTTGGAACTACGCTTAAATTTTAAGAGCTTCTTGAAGGTTCTTCCCAAGCAACATTGTAAGTTTTATTGAGGTTTTAAAGCAGTCTACAGGTCTAAAGAATGGTCTACAGTACCGTCATAAAACCCAAATTGTTATTTGGGTTATTATTTTCCTGAAGTAAATGGATAAAGCTCTTCAAGTTTTCCAAAAACTTTCGGAACTTTGTTAAAGTTCCCGCAATTTTCTTGCAGTTTATGGAACTATCCTGCAGTTCTCAAAACAGCTACGAAAATCACGTTGCTTCCCAAAAAAAAATCTTAACTTTTATGAAGTTTTTAGGCGTTGCACTTTTTTGATATTGAAACACGTTAATGAACGTCTCGATTTTTCGTACCTTTCCTGGTGAGCCTGAAGTCCACAGAACTTCATTATCTTTCCTAAACATCTTCAAACTAACCTGATGTGTGTTTGGACCTAGTCTTGGAACTATTGAAAGGTTCATTCAATTTTCTCGAAGTTCTATGATCTTCATCTGCAGTATCGGACAAAAAAATCAAAACAAGCCAAAACTCTTTCCAATTGCATAGTTTATCAACCAGTGTGTGTGTGTGTGTGTGTGTGTGTGTGTGTGTGTGTGTGTGTGTGTCATCGTCTACCCCATCATCCAGCTGGGGGCGTTGGACAAATAGAACTGCTAATATATTAAATAATGTGATCAAATTTAACGCTCCGTAATGGTGCCCTTTATGTTGTGATGATCAGTACTTTAACAAGGATAACTTTTGGGGCAAGACAGGGCGTCCTCAACAAGTTTAAGGAAAAGGATTTTCCAATGTCCACAACGCCCCGTAACGTGGGTAGATCACCTTTTCGTGGTACGTTACAGGATGTAAGATCTACCACCGATTCCTAGTCCTGACTACTTCAAGCTAGGGGAACAGGATTTTTCAAAAACGAAAACGAAAAAGTCAGTCAGTGCACTTTTCATCTTATTTTTTGACACTAATGTAATTCACCGATTTTCACGTGCTCTAGAGGTATCAATTTTGCCATGCGAATCGGTTCCTGAATATTCCCTCGGAGAAATAACGCCTACTCCTCAACACACACAACACGTCACTTCAAACTTATTTTTTTTTAATCGAAAATCTAAAATTGCGACCGTCACGAAAAGGTGTTAGGGTTTGAACGCTTATAACTTTGTCATTTATAGATGAAATTGAAATTCAAATACACCAATCGATAGGAAATAACTCTTAGAATCTTCTACAATAAATGCCTTTCAAATTATTTATAATTGCTTCTCGCTTCTCGAGTGGGAAACTTTTTCAAAGCTTTTTGCCAGAATCACGAGCAGTAAAAAAAACTTTTGAGATCGTAAAGCGCGTTTGGAAGGTTCATAAAATGATAAAAATCAACTCGAAATACAGTTGCAAAAACAAAACATTGCAACTTTGCAGTGTGACCTACCACGATTTCAAATCAAAATCATAAACAGCTTTTGATGTGATATAATTTTAATCACAGTCAACTCGAGCAGTTCTCGACATTGAAGGGACCATCGAGATACGGTGAGATCACATTGCATAGTTCATCATCCTGAAAAGTTACAGCGAATTGAACTTTGTCGAAGTGAAACATAATCACGATGTTCTATATTTTTGTCCGCCACTTGGTTCCAAAATTTTCCTGATGTTTATGGGACTGCTCCAAAGTTCTCCGAACTTACGCTTGAAGAACTTTAAATCCAAAAACCTGGACTTTCTTGAAGATTCCGGATCTTCCATAAAGATTTATGAGCTTTCCTGATTATTTCAGTACTTCCCTGAATTTCTATAAGGCTCGCTTCTACGACGCCTGATAAGTGTCACGAGAAGACTGGACGTTTGTTGGTAAGTAGAAATAATGAACCATACGAAAAAGTCATACAAATTTCGGTACCCTGAGAACTCACGACCTTTTGCTCACTTAGCAGGCACTCGGCGCTCTGAAACACCATGAGTAACCATGAGTAACTACCACAACAGGGTCCTCAGGGACCATAGACTAATTTTGTTGAACATCTGGAACATCCGTAAAGGTGGTCAATTCATGAAACTAATTGTCGAATTAAGAAAATGAAAAAATTTCTATTATGCTTTTAAAGTTATTTATGAAGTGCAATCAGCAATTGGGTCTCCCATGGTCACATGCCGGTATTTCGGAAGATCCGGAGCATCCGTAAACATTACCAATTCATGAAAATCGTTCTATTGAGCCGCATTTTTTTTTCCTAAACGTTTTCTGCTATGCTTCGACAGTTATTTATGAAGTGCAACCAGAATAAGTGTCCTCCGTGGCCATCGGTTGGTCCAGGGAAAGATCCGAGCTTCCGTCGAGGTGGTCAATTAATACAACTCATTCGAAATCTCCGAGATTTTTTTCAAATGCTTTTCTATTTAAAAAAAAAGTTAAAAAGTAAGAGGTTGTATCCAGGCTTGCCTAAACTCCTCAAACTCAGATTATGCCGCATAGATGCTCATTTATCGTGAGCTATTTCATCCCTCACATATAAAGAGCAATGATGTCAAATCCAAAGAGCGCAAAAGAGCTCGAGCTCAGATTGATGCTCAAGCTGGACTTCCACAAACACGCATCACGATGAGTGATGCGGGGTCGTTCTTGGGTGAGGAATGATTTACATCGGCTCTGCTCACCAAACAACATTTTGAACTTCGGGATGGACTCGGTGAAACGGTGAGCTTCGTTATACTTTCGGAGAGAGCACGCACGGCCTTTGATTGATGCACGGTTCTTCCATTCAATATTATGATACACAACAACACAACAATACACTCAATGGACTATAGGACCATTCCCAGATAACGTAACATTTTAAGAGATTGATGTTTTTAAACTTGGGAACTACTTTTTGGGTTACTCAAACTCAGTCACAATAATCTTTGATCGTTTTTTTCCGCTAAGTGCTTTATGAGTGGATATACGAAATTATATTTCTGATGAAACTAGTAAAAGTACTAATTACTACGTTTATGGATTATCCCTTGGTGGTGTTTTCGTATTCTCCTGTTGGCTTTTAACATGTTCATTCATTCAATTTGCTGCTCTCGCTGCACACACGGTAGCCCCGAAATCTTTCTGGACCAACAATTGAAATAGGCTGAACAACCCAACGTAAGCAATGGTTTTAAACAAATAATTCTCGAGAATCAAAACACTACCACGTAAACTAAAATTGACATTCGATAAAGGAAGTTTGCTCTATCAGATGATGGTATTAGATTGTTTGGATGTGCTTTGATTTTCGAGGAATTTGTGTTAAAAACAATTGTTTACGTTTGGTTGTTCCGCCTATTTCAATTGTTGGTGTAGCGTTGTCGCATATCGTTGTTGATGTCGCAGAAACGCAAATCAAATTTTGGTATGGCTCTGTTCTTCAACAAGTTAGGAGATTCAGTAGATGGTGAATTAAAGTGTAAATCTTGTGAGAAAAAAATTAAAACAAAACACAACTTCAATTTGAAAAGAAATTTAAATCAATGTTGACATAGGTATTATAATTATCACGCGTTCATTGATTAACATTTTAAATAATCAGCTGGGTAAAAAATGCATTTACTCTACCTCAAATTTCAGCATAGCATTAAATTTGCAATGTGCAACTCATACATGATAGAAACACGTAGAATTTTTGTATCTACGACTCTATGTATGTATTCCC